AAATAGAATTGTTAAATCATTTAAAATTCTTTTGAACAAACAACAGACTAACAAACAGACTAAGAGACAAACAAATGAAACCAATAACTTTAAAACATCAATTAAAAATTCAATGCTGGCTTTAGTATATTAAGTTAAATACCTACAAATATTTTAATGATGATGATGACAGTTTTGATCCACATATAGAATCTGTTCTGATTCTGCGGCTTGCTAGATAATAGCCATGAATCATTCTTTCTGCCTCCAAACTGAATTTTACATCCAAATTATTTGCAAAAGCCAGAAGCTAAATTGAAAGTATGGAAATTTAAGAGATTAAAACTTTATTCCAGTCTTTATTACAAACAATCCCAAGTGTAGTTACATATTTTTAAAGAGTTTGCATATTTTATTTATATAAATATTGAGTAAATACCTGGAATCATCCTGAAGTCATTGAGCACTAAAAAAATTAGAAAATCTTCCACTTATAAAGAATATTAAAAGTTCACACAGTTTTCCCAGTGCAGATTTTGTGTGTGTAGAATATTTGAATGACTGTCTTGTCATTACTCTGAAACCCCTATTTACAACAGAACATATGTAGATAACAGAAAGGGCAATTGAGGTTGAGCTTTCAAGTATGGAAATACAAAGGAAGAGGAACAGTTCTAAGCAGACACTAGTGATTGGGACACGGAATGTGAGAACAATGAATGTACGAAAATTAGATATTGTTAAGGAAGAAATGGAACACATAAATATTGACATTAAGCATTGGTGAGGTGAGATGGACTGGCATGGGGCATTTTGAGTCGGATGACCATATGATATATTACTCTGGAGATGAAAAAGTGAGGAAACATAGAGTTGCTTTCATAGTTAAAAAAGTCATTGCTAGATCCATCTTGAAGTACAATATTGTGAGTGATAGGATAATATCCATACACATACAAGGAAGGCCAGTAAATACCACTATCATTCAGATATATGCACCAACAACCAGAACCAAGGAAGAGGATATAGAAGATTTTTACCAACTTTTACAATCAGATCGATCGAACATGCAATCAAGATGCATTGATAATAATGGGTGACAGGAATGCAAAAGTTGGGAAGAGAGAAGAAGATTCAGTAGTTGGAAAACATGGACTTGGTGACAGAAATGGAGCTGGAGAGAGAATGATCGAATTTTGCACAATCAATGACTTATTCATGTCAAATATGTTTTTTTAAGAGACATAAACACAGGTTATATACTTGGATTTCACCTGATGGTATGCATAGGAATCAGCTCGATTACATCTGTGGAAAGAACAGCTGGAGAAGCCCAATATCAGCTGTGAAAAGTAGGCCAGGAGCTGATTGTGGAACAGACCAACAACTACGCATATGCAAGTTCAAGCTGAAGTTGAGGAAAATTAAACCAAATCCAAGGCAACCAAAATATGACTTTGAGTCTATCCCACCCCAGAACCATCTCAGGAACGGGTTTGAGGCCTTGAACACTAATGAGCGAAGACCAGACGAGTTGTGGGAGGATATCAAGGGTATCATCCAGGAAGAGTGCAAACAGTCATTGCAAAGAGAGAAGAGGAAGCGAAGACCAAACTTGAT